TGGCAAATCTCAGACGCCAGGGCGACATTTCTAGTCGCCGTGGCGATCTGGCGCCTGGGATTTGTCGAGCCCTGGGTTAAGTAAATAAAGTTTGTTTTTGTTTTTAAAAACCCTTTATCTGATGTAGGGGGGGGGGGCACTATAATGTTAGGAATACCAATCTGTTTTCCTCATATTATAGAATTCCTTTTAGGTAAATAGCCTGTGAGGTCTACTTCATTTAAGTATATATATAGTGTGTGACAGTTTTGTTTAATTAAATAGTTTTTTCCCCCCACTAATCTAGCACGATATATAGAATCTTATGCTCACCCTAATGAGCATAAGCTGTTTGGTGCACGGCAGGTGCCCTTTAACATCTGACTGAAAATGAAACCATTTTGTTTTCATGCAGGTTGTGTGTGTCACAAGCAGTAAATGTGTGGTATAAACAGAATCAAAAGTGATTTAACTACTAAATGACAGTGCATTGAGCAGTGGACATGATCTATACACAAAAACTGCTTCATTAAGCTAAAGTTGTTTTGGTGACTATTGTCTGTAACTGGCAATCGTACCTCAACTTGCAGAATGATTGCGGAGTAGAGAAACGGCTTATGGAATGGAATATTTTGCAGTTCTAAACTACTGCCCAGCAAGCAGAATATTCTTCTATGATATGCTTGTGTCAAGTTGAAAAGAGTCCACATCTTATGCAAAACCACTAGGTGGCACACCACTCAATCATTGGGTTCATAAGGGAAAAAAATTATTTTGTGGCAACATAGTAATTGAGAATAAATAGAGACTAGTTCGGAAAGGTCAACCTCTGATCAAGTAGACCCTAGTTTCTTTTAAGAATGGCTTTTCAAATTCATCTAACACAGCTTAAAGGATAAAGGATATAACTGGGGGCTGAAACATGTTCTATTTATTAGCTCCACAGAGATAACAGAAGTAGCAGGCGCTAGTGGCTTCTCAATAAGCTGTACGATTCTGTATGAATGCGTGCACCTACAACACAGAGGCTTCTCAATGCACAGCCTATTATTAGTGTATTCACAACACTGACTAAAGTCTCCTTCAGAGAGAGAGGGTAAGGGCACGCAAAGGCTGCATACAGTAGGTCTGCAACTTTTACAAGCTGTTTTCATATACCTCTAAAGAAAGCATACAGGCATGTTTCATTTGGGACTACATATACTAAATTTTTGAAATTCAGTGGAGCATTCCTGTAGATGTTTTAAAACGTCAGCTTCCATGATGCTTTGTCATTCTAAAATCATGCAAAGCATCATGGGAATTTAGTTCTACAACACCTGGGGATCTACCTTATGGGCACCCCTGCTGTAGAATATTACAAAGTCCATGTTCTCCTAATGGATTAAAATGAGACAGCCTCGTATTCATGCTGCATTTTTTATATATATATAATTATTTTATTGTGCTCGCGAAAAAAAGAGGCATGCAATGCCACAACAGCAATTGCTCGCCTGTCGGTTCAACATTTATAAACATGTGTTAGGCATACATTGACGGTACACATGTTATATTATAAATTATAATAGTCACATGTGAAATCTCCGTGTCAGCTATAAGATAGAGTCGGTACTGAGACAGATTGAAAATGTTGACAAAAGGATAGGAAGTCATGTAAGTACAAGCTTAAGTGGGACAGTTCCCGTAATCTAAATTATATAGAGTCTTGGCTCGAGGTTTCAAACAGCTAAGTGATTCTTCGGACAGGGTGACCCACCTCTGCAGCAAGCTCAGGCTCTCTAATGGGGTGGGCTAGTGAGTGCATGAGGGTTGGCAAATGGTTAAAGATTAAAACAATGCTGGCCCAGACTAGCGATAACAAACCATCTTACAGTTACCTACCTAGCTAGGCTGATGGTAGGTAAGTCATAAGGTCAAAGTGTGCTGTGCAGTTTTAAAGGAAGATAAGAAAATAACAGGAAAGAAAAACACTAAGAGGTATGACAGGCTTATTACTTCTGGAAGGAGCCCCTAGTTGGAATCCAGTGGACAGCGAGACTACAGAGAAAAAGTTGTCTATATTGAACATATAGGCAGAAACATCAAATAATTGCACACCACATTACATTCTCGGAGACAGGCAGCTGTAGTGAGTAACCCAGGGTTTTTCATAACAGATCAGTCCCAGAGCCACTCTCAGCCTATGCCTGCTAGGGGCACAACACCATCCCAAAGTGAAGAGGCACACTACTTGTCGCCTTGCCAAGATTCAGTCCAGTAAGTTGGGTCACGTATCTTGTGTGGGTTGCTGCTCAGCTCTTCCGGTCGTGTTTGTGGTCCTGCTTGGGTGGGTTCCTCTGCGCCATTTTGAGGCTAGGCCCTGCCCCCTTCATGCTGCATTTTATACACAATCTAATAGCTTTAACCCCTTAAGGAATGACATGTGTGACATGTCATGATTCCCTTTTATTCCAGAAGTTTGGTCCTTAAGGAGTTAAAGGGACACTGTAGGCACCCAGACCACTTCAGCTCATTTAAATTGTCTGGATGAAAACTCCCATCACCCTGAGAATGTAATTATTGCAGTTTTTATAAACTGCAATAATTACCAGCTAGGGTTAAGCCCTCCTCTAGTGGATCTCTGCCAGACAGCCACTAGAGGGACTTCCGGGTGCTTAGATGACTTTTGGTCGTTGTATTGGACCGCCTTGCACCCCGATTGGGTATCTCCATCAAGCTCGCTTCCTAGCTCTCCTCTGGGACACAATTCATGGGTTTCTTCATGCGAACGGCCGCCAGGGAGCTAGTCTTTGGTTCCATTCGAATGAAGGGAAAGTGCCGAAATAGGGGCACCCAGGGAAAGCTGCTAATGGCGGCTGGGAAGATTTAACTCACGAACAGGGTCTTTGTATATTGCCCATAGTCCTTGGGCAGGAGGATAACTAGCAGGCTCCTCCAGGAGCTTTTGGCATAGGTACGTTTGTCACAGTCGTCTAAATAATGCTGGACATCCTTACGCATGAGGACTTCCCGCGTCACTGAATCCCCATAGGAAAGAATTGAGTAATAAAAATAAGGAAATAAAAAAAATTGTTTGACAGCTTTCAGCAGAGAAAGGGTTAAGCCCTCCTCTAGTGGATCTCTGCCAGACAGCCACTAGAGGGACTTCCGGGTGCTTAGATGACTTTTGGTCGTTGTATTGGACCGCCTTGCACCCCGCCAGGGAGCTAGTGTTTGGTTCCATTCGAATGAAGGGAAAGTGCCGAAATAGGGGCACCCAGGGAAAGCTGCTAATGGCGGCTGGGAAGATTGCCCACAGTCATAATGATTTGTCCTTCTTGAAATCAGACAATTTCCTCTAGTGTGTTAAATAAGTTGCATGGGGTATATTCGTTGCATTGCTCCCCACTGGAGAAGAGTGTTTATGTTGGCACCAAGGATATTTTGAATACAGGCAAATATGTAGGAGACCCACCATACCAAGTTAATACAATTAAAATTAAAATAAACAAAACTGCATTTTTTCCACAATAAGTTTTATTAGTAAAATTATAAACCTCTCTCTGCTCACCCTTACTAAACCAACTGCTCTCCCACTGACCACTTACAAGGTACATCAACCCTTCCTCTACACGTTTCAAGGAAAGGCATCATGTGTAAGTGTCAGGGGAGGTGACAGAAGCCAGCGCACGAACAGGGTCTTTGTATATTGCCCATAGTCCTTGGGCAGGAGGATAACTAGCAGGCTCCTCCAGGAGCTTGTGGCATAGGTACGTTTGTCACAGTCGTCTAATGCTGGACATCCTTACGCTGTGCATGAGGACTTCCCAAGTCACTGGAATCCCCATTGGAAAGAATTGAGTAATAAAAATAAGGAAATAAAAAAAATAGTTTGACAGCTTTCAGCAGAGAAACTCTGCCTTCCTCTTCACAATCCAACTTCCTTGTTATACAGTACATCCACTGAGTGAACTCATCCCAACCAATGAGAGATTGAAAGAAAGAAACACAGATATCAGCTATATTTGTATTTATATTTTCATGGCCTTACACCATCTCTTTGTAAAACCTAATGGTGGTTGGCCCACAATACTTTTATATTTTTTGTAATAATTTAACATTAAAATCTTATAGAAAAACTATATTCCTAATGCTGATGTGTGCCACTGCTTTCACACACAACCCCCCGCAAGCCTCCCCTTGTTGAAAAGGTTAAAATCCCTTATAACACTTTCCATTAATTCCAGGTCCAATATCCATCAGCTCCGATTCTGTCTCCTATAGTGACATCATGCCAATGGAGGACCTAATGCACATGTGTGGCAAGCGCCACGCACACATTTAAACTTTTCCATTGGACAGCATTAAATCAATGCTTTTCTAGTAGAATTTTGAGGCGCTGGACATCCTCATGCAAAGCGTTAGGACGTCCAACATAATTTCACGGAGTTTAATTGGTGGCTGTCTTAAAGTTACAGGGACACTGCACCCAAACCACTTCATGAGATGAAGTGGTCCATGTGACTATAGTATCCCTTTAACAACCAATCTACATGTCAGAAACCTTTCCCTCTGAAGGAGCACTCTCCTATAGTATTTGGTTAAAATAAATGATGAAATGAAACACAAAAATACCAGATTGTGGCAGGTAAAGAATTTTCCAAATCTCAAAACCTTTGTCTGCTATAGCTTTAAAGAAAAACATTATCCAGCTCATTACTGTCATACTGTGGATTCGATAACCTTGCATTTCTAATTTATTCTCCCCACAATTCACATTTTAGCGAGGATGCCCTTGCAGATGAATAAAGGGTAATTTTCCACTGAGAAGTAACAGCGCATCATGACGAAGCTGTTTTGCACGCCATAAGTACATGACAGGCTTCCTGCTGTGGATGAAACACTAATCCTTTTTTTTTTCCTTCTTCTTAATAAGACGATGCCCCTTTAAATAATTTATAGTCACATGTCCGCAGTAAGTTGTAAAGCGCTCTAGGGCCCCGCCCAGTCTGGGTCAACGTTCTATGAGAGGGCGTGGTCATCGAATGCTGCCCTTACATATAGAGCTCCTCCCTGCTGGCACCATGTAGTGCTGTCTGAGAGCTGCTGGAGTGATGGCTGCGCGTACTGTCTATGAGTTCTCCGCCCGCCTGCTTGGCTCAGGGGAGATCCTCAACTTCTCCCGCTTCAAGGGGCAAGTGCTGCTCATAGAGAATGTAGCATCGCTCTGAGGGACGACGGTTCGGGATTACACCCAGATGAGCCGTCTGCAGAGCACACACGGCCCCAACGGGCTGCAAGTGCTCGGCTTTCCCTGCAACCAATTCGGACACCAGGTAAGGGATGCCGGGAGTATGGCGGATGGGTGATGTGTGACAGGGTTAATGTATTAATGATAAATGAAATAATCATTTTGGGGACTGGGAGTCTTTTTTTTTTTAATAGTTACCGGTGTACTTTTATGTAACTGTTTGAGTCCTCTAACATTTCTTATATTGCAGCAGTGTTTGTTTTATTAACCATACAGTACATAGGTGTGCTTCTCCCTAACTATCATGGCCACTAGAGCTGCAGTGAAATGTAATGCCTTTAACTTTCATGGATCAGACTGATGGGAGTTGGCAGAATCTTGACTGTTGTGCAGCACTGTTAATGGTTCAAATGTGATATCTAGTACTTGTTGTTATTTCACACCAGGTCTAAGTTGTTGGGTTGGATTTTGGTGGGTAAATGATATTTACCTGAAGGTTTTTACACTCCTTTGACTTTTTTTTTTTTTTTTCACTTCCAGACAAACGCACTTGTACTCTTATGCGTGTCTGAGAGCATTTTTATCGGAGATCTAGTGGATCTCTCATAGACCTTCTCACATGCCTAATCAAATGTGTTGGTGGTGAAAGGTCTATCCCACACACAGCCTGGTGTTTCTGTAACAATAGAGTCCCTACTGTCTCATGTATCATTTAGGTTGAATTGAAATTTCTAAGATGGTCTTAGTGCAGTGCCATTTCAATGTCAATCAAATTGCCCTCAGTATATTTAAGCATACATGTTGTAGTTGTAATTCTCCATACAAATCCCAATCTTTATTTAATGCAGGAGAATTCCAACAACCAGGAGATCTTGAACTCTCTGAAGTATGTCCGACCCGGAGGTGGATACGAGCCCAATTTCCCAATATTTGAGAAGTGCGAGGTCAACGGTGAAAAAGAGCATCCCCTCTTCACCTTCCTGAAAGAGCAACTTCCGTATCCCAGTGACGATTCTGTGTCTCTCATGGTGGACCCCAAGTGCATTATCTGGTCTCCGGTGAGGCGGAACGATATCTCTTGGAACTTTGAGAAGTTCCTTATTGGGACTGATGGCGTTCCATACAAAAGATACAGCCGCCGATTTGAAACCATTAACATCCAGGCGGACATTGAGAAGTTGCTAAATGAGAAGTCAAAGTAGAATGAGTAGCAATGTCTGTGCTGCAATGTGGCTAAAAAAACACTCCAATTTTTTATGCAATATAGTGCTAACACATTGCAAAAATGTAATATTGCTCCGGTCTGACTTTTCTGTTAAACTGACATTTTTGAGTGCAGCTATAATTTGTTATATCTAACATTGCAGCCAGACTTGCTATAATTTCTGAAGTTTCACTTCTTCTTGTGCTTCCTGCGCTGGCTTCTGTCACCTCCCCTGACTCTTACTCATGATGCCTTTCCTTGAAACGTGTAGAGGAAGGGTTGATGTACCTTGTAAGTGGTCAGTGGGAGAGCAGTTGGTTTAGTAAGGGTGAGCAGAGAGAGGTTTATAATTTACTAATAAAACTTATTGTGGGAAAAAATGCAGTTTTTTATTTTTTTTTTATTTTTTTTAGTTGTATTAACTTGGTATGGTGGGTCTCCTACATATTTGCCTGTATTCAAAATATCCTTGGTGCCAACATAAACACTCTTCTCCAGTGGGGAGCAATGCAACGAATATACCCCATGCACCTTATTTAACACACACTAGAGGAAATTGTCTGATTTCAAGAAGGACAAATCATTATGACTGTGCGCTTCTGCAGTCTTCTCTGCAAGTGCTGGATGGGAAGTGATCCTCCTGCAAGCCTTTCTCCCAGTGGGGAGATGTTGCAACATGTGGGTTTTGTCTGATTTAGTGTGGTACACAAATAGAGCAGCATCTCAGTGTTTGCTATAGTGTGTGAATAATTTATCAGTCTGGCATGGTTCACAGAGGGTTTTCTATTCTGGTTTCTGTGGGGTTCCCCTCCTTATCTTCATTTTATGGCAAAGAGATCAAAGGGTCGTGAATTCAAAAGGTATTAATCATGCCATGATCTTGTTACATTTATTTTATAAAATATTTTACCAGGAAAGATACATTGAGATTTCTCTCGTTTTCAAGTATGTCCATACTTTTTTTTTGTTTTTTTTTAATTGCCTCAGAGCAGTAAAATTTTGGCTTTATTTTTATTTTTTTACGCAAGTGATATGGGGGTTTGATGTTGGTGCTATACTCTGTATAATTTACAGCCTGTCTGTTTTAGATCTTTTTTTTTTTTTTTTTTTTTTTTTTTTTTTTTTTTTTTTTTTTTTTTTTTTTTTTTTTTTTTTTTTTTTTTCTGGTTTCCTGCAATCCTTAATTACTTATTAAAGTGGCTTAATTGGGGAGTGGCATATAAGACATTTTAGGAGACAAAATCTTACTTTTTTCATATCCCCCCCAAATTTTTGCAGAAAGTAACAATGTTTAATTCATTAAATGAAAAGTCCTCAATTTTCCTTAAACATGCTGCAGCTGGTAGATGATGAAGAGGCCCTCCACCAAAGAGGGCTTTTCGTTCTGGTGTTTCTTTATTCCCATTAAATCCTGTCCAGAGGTTGTATATGGAATAGGTAGGGCTGTTGTATGGCAATTAGCTTCCTGATCAGATCCATCTATTAGCACACTCTACTGCAAATACCGGGTGAACTGGGTTGTAAGTTGCTGGCCATACATACAATGTTAAATTCTGGTTTGTTTTTTCTAAGCCACTCTGGAAGAACAGGGTACTCTCTGCACAGTCTCATAAAAAAAAAATGGGTGGCCATCTTCAAAGCATCAGAGGAGGCCTTGAACTCAAAGCAAAGTAATCGCTATTATCATCATAGGAAAAAATAGTTGGAGCATTCTAGCACGTTGCTACTTCAAACTTCAAACTACCCCAAAAAAGCTAACTGGGACTTGAACCCAACATCAAAATTGAGAGTGAAACAGCAGAGTCACAACTATGTCCCTTAAACATCCACATATACCTGGCAAAGGTACACACTGGATATTGCTGTACTCAGACCGCATAGCTGATTAACATATGACGTGTTATACTGCCATAGCACACATTAAACAGTAAAAAAAAAAAATATATATATATATATATATATATATATATATATAAAAAATTATTGTCTTTCAAAAGAGGCAGAAAATAAAAAGGCTTATTACCACTACACTTGGTACAAACTAGAAGGAAAAAAAAAAAATCCCATGCGAAGGTTCAAATTATGCCTTTTGAAATAGCCTGAGGTGTCTTCTTTAAGAAATGTTAGGCCTTAGTGGGGTAGTTTGAATTCGCAACCTGCTAAAATGGAACATGCACCTATAAACACAATCCTATGAAAATTCACACTTAAAATGAAAAGGTCACATCTCTTTACAAAATAGTGTCTAAGCCATAGATTAGACATATTGTTTTACTCAGAAGTTGTAATAGAGCATAATTTTGGGGATTTTATCACAGTGGCACATATCAAATGTACAAAATACGCATGTATGTAAACAAAACAAAAATGCTCATTTTTTTTAATTCACCACTACTAATATTGGTAAAAAAAAAAAAAATTATGGCAAGCTAAGGCACAATATATGCCATCTGATATACCCTGGAGTCTCTACTTTCACAAATGGTAGGCTGTTGTGGGCTTATTTAACCCCTTAAGGACACATGACATGTCATGATTCCCTTTTATTCCAGAAGTTTGGTCCTTAAGGGGTTAAACAGTCATACTGCTAAAATGCCCCAAACTTAAACAAAGCTCCATCAAATATCTATGAAAAGTGCAATCATAAAAACTGATATAGCCTGGTCTCTTATATGGCATTGTAGCTTCCTAAAATAATGGCATACAATGGGCATATCGTACACAGCAGATGATACTGAACACAATATGGGATTTTGTACAGCAATAGTACATATCAGTTTAAAAAAAACAAACCTGTGTCAAAAAACAGAAAAAACACAATTTTACTACAATATTTAGCAAAAATTGGCAGTGAAATGGTTATGTAAAAATATCGTCAGGTAAATGGCCTAGAGTACAAACTTTTAAAATTGTTCCACATGGAAATTTTCTTTTACATCTTGTATTTTGGGACTTGTAGCTATAAAAATAAACATACATTTGATACAAAGAACCATAGTCCACGGAGACTTAATGAGTCTCCTAAGAGAGATTGCGTTTATACAAGAACTCGCATAAGCCAAGAAACTGTATCATGGACAAATCACAACACAAGAGGACAGTCTTACATTAGAGGGGAAAAGGTTTAAAAATATCAGGAAGTATTACTTTACTGAGAGGGTAGTGGATGCATGGAATAGCCTTCCAGCTAAAGTGGTAGAGGTTAACACTGTGAGGGAGTTTAAGCATGCGTGGGATAAACAAAAGACTATCCTAGACTTAAGATAAGGCCAGGGACTAATTAAAGTATTGAGAAAATCGGGCAGACTAGATGGGTCGAATGGTTCTTATCTGCTGTCACATTCTATTTTTCTAGAATGCTGTAACGGAATTCCCCGTACTCCGACCCAGTACCTTCTGTTGATGGACACTTCCTAGCTCGCGCCAAGGACCACAACCACCGCACCGGACACCGCAGACTCCACAACCGCCGTAGCTTAACTGGAGTCTCACCGTCTTCCTTCCACCCTGGATCAGCTTCTGTCCTCCAGGACCGGGTGGGGAAAGACCTCTCTTCCAGGAGAGCGTATCAGGAACAGCTCTTAAAAGAGCTAAGTGATTAAAGCTCAGGGGAGTATACAAGTATAGCAAGCCCCAGTGTGAATATAGCTGTCCCCTCCAATCATGAGACAGGACTATGTGTTGAGGGTCAAGAAGAACTGTTTAATCAGCACCAAAGGGCTTTCTTTTATGCAGGTTTTTACACAAAGTTACCACCCACATGGTCTTGTGGAACAGCCAATCAAACATGTACAATACAGTTAAACACTCCCATTCATTCCAGCAAAATCCTCCCCTCTGCCTGTGATATAATTACTGAACACAATGGGTTAATGTAATTATCACAGGCAGGAAAATACAGTTTTTATACAATTCTTATAACTTTAAAAGTATACATGCAATATTAATAAAAGTTGCACATTCTAATTAGTATACAAACATATCCAAAAATCATACACTTTGGTCCAGTGGTTCAAAAGATAGATGGAAGTCCTATTTGACCGACTTCAAGCATGGCTTTCCTGCCCAAAAACAGTTCCACAGATTCAGGCTGTGCAGCCCGTCTATCTTCACCTGGAGATAATTGGCTTAAGTGAGTGGTAACTTAATTATCTCCAGGTACAGTGAATATCTCCATTTACAACAACAGTAAAAATACAAAAAAATACGTATTTCCTATTATACTGAACAGAACCCCCACATTCAACCTATCCCCAGATAGCTTGGATCTGGGCGCTTAATATATCCGAACAGCGCTCAGATCCACAAACAGAATAAAATCACCATAGGGTTAAAGTTTAGCAAGGGCTGATGAGAGATTGAGGAGGGACAAAGCAGCCAGTTTAAACTGGTCTGACAGTGTCCCTGGGACAACACCCTCCTGGAGAACAATGGACAGGAAAAGGGGGAGGGGAAGAGGCAATTTCTCCCATGGAATCAAAGGGGCAGAAACAGTGCAATAAAATCCAATATCCCCAAATAACGTTTTTTAAAGGGAAACTCTCCCAGGGGCCATAGTCACAAGGCAAGAGGCTGGCAATTAGTCCTCTCCAGGCACAAGTGGCAAAGGGCACTTTGTCACAAATGCCTTACCATCAAGACCTTCTGCACTATCAAGAATAAAAATTATTAAAGAGAATGGTTCCAAGTACAGATCCCTGAGGTACCCCACTGGTAACTAGACCTTGCTTTGAATATACTCCATTGACTACAACCCTCTGTTGCCTGTTATTCAGCCACCGCCTTACCCATTCAACAATATTGGAATCCATACTTAAAGATTGCAGTTTATTGATAAGCTTTCTCTGTGTAACAGTGTCAAAAAGCCTTACTGGAATCTAGGTAAGCAATGTCTACTGCACCACCCTGATCTATTATTTTAGTTATTCAATAAGATTAGTTTGGCATGATCTCCCTGAAGTAAACCCATGTTGTCTCTGATCTTGAAATCCATGTGATTTTAGATGTTCAACAATCCTATCCTTTAACGTGGTTTCTATTACTTTACCCACTACTGAAGTAAGGCGTACTGGCCTATAGTTGCCCGACTTCTCCCTATTACCTTTCTTGTGAATGGGCACCACATTCGCTAACTTCCAATCTTCTGGGTCTACTCATGTTAATGATTTATTAAATAAATCTGTTAATGGTTTTGCTAGTACACCACTAAGCTCTTTTAATAACTTTCTCTTTTAATTCCATCAAGTCCCATTGACTTATTTGTCTTTACTTTTGACAGTTGAAATAGAACTTCTTCCTCTGTAAACTCACATGTAACAAATGACTCATTTGTCCTTTTTCCTAACTGAGGTCCCTTTCCTTCATTTTCATCTGTAAATACTGAACAAAAATAATAATTGAGGCAGTCAACTAGACTTTTATCCTCATATACGGTGTAGTGTGTTACCAATTGTTTTCTTCGTGACTATGGTCTTAGCTGCCTTGAGATCATTAGCAAGATCCTCCCGTGTAGTTCTGGTCCTTTAAGAGAGTGCGCCTAATCTCAGCTTGTTACCTGTATAAAAGACATCAGAAATCTTGCTGATTGATAGGGGATCAAATACTTATTTCACTCATTGACATGCAAATCAATGTATAACTTTTTTGACATGCGTTTTTCTGGATTGTTTTTTTGATATTCTGTCTCTCACTGTTAAAATATACCTACCATTAAAATTATAGACTGATCATTTCTTTGTCAGTGTCGGGGATCCGCGGGCGGCTAGGAGGGGAGGCTGCACGCCACTTGCAGCACTCACCCTCAGTCCGTCGCCGCCTATGGTCTCCCCTCCGCTTACCTGTCGGCGAGTGGTGTCTCCTCCCTGCCGCTCGCGTCCTCCACGCCCCCCAGCGGCAGCATGTATAACGCTGCACGCTGGGAGGTCACTGAATTATGCAAACGCCGGGGTCACGTGAGTGACCCGGCGTTAAAGGAACAGTACCACAGTGGGAGGTATAGATATCCCCCACGTGTGATTGTTAATTCTGATGCGAAGTTATCCAATCAGAATTAAACCAAGGGTATTTATACTTACCTATCCTGTCCCTCAGTGCCCTGTTGTGGTCTTGTGATACCTGTAGTGCTGTTCTCTCGTGTTGCTCTCTGGTTTCCAATTAATTGGCTCGTTATTCCGATTATCCTGTCTTCTCCACTCCTTTGACCTCGGCTTGTTTCTCGTTCTCCCGTTTTCTGGCTCCCTTTACTTGGCTTGTCTCCTGACCATTCTTAGCGTGCTTAGCCCGGCCACTCTAAGGACCGGTATAGCATCTTTCCTCTCTGTGTCCTGTTAGCGTGTTAGGTTCCGGAATCGTGACATTACAACAGTGCCACCATGGAACCTGCTGACATTCCACAGCTGTTAATAAATCAGGAGGCTAGAATGGATGGTTTAGACCACCGTATGGATCAGTTTGCCCAAGCTTTACAAACCATACTGGCTCGTACTGCCCACTTGCAACCTGCCGTTCAAGAAGCTGTAGCTACCGTGCCAGAACCCATTCCTGATCCAGTACCCGCTCCTGCTCACGTGGTTCACATGACGCCACCTCAGCGCTATAGCGGTGATCCAGCATTGTGCCGTGGTTTCCTCAACCAAATTGACATTCATTTGGTGATGAATCCTCGTTCCTACCCCACTGACAGAACCAAAATTGCATTTTTTGATCAACCATTTGTCCGGGAAAGCTCTAGCATGGGCTAATCCCATGTGGGAGAATACGTCCCCAATGTCCTTTGCAGACTTTTTAACAGCTTTTAAACGTACATTTGATCAACCCGGCCAGGTTGCTTCTGCTGGCAAAGCTCTGTTTAGGGTCCGACAGGGTAATAGATCTGTAGAGGATTATACCATTGAATTCCGCACTCTGGCAGCTGAAGTGGTTTGGAATAACGACGCTCTCGTAACAGCTTTTCAGGAGGGTTTGGCCGCTTACATATTAGATGAAATAGCATCCAGGGAAATGCCTGTTCTTCTGGATGATCTAATAGATTATGTCATTCTAATTGACAACCGTATTAGAGAGAGGCGTAGTCAAAGAAGGATGAATTCACAGGGGTTACCTGCTTTACCCAGTACTGCATTACTAGCATTACCTCCCCCTAATCAACCACCTCCCGAACCCATGCAATTAGGTGCTGTAGGCTTATCTGAAGCTGAAAGAACATACCGCAGAAGGGAGGGTTTGTGCCTTTATTGTGGTAAGAGGGGGCATCTCCGAAGAAACTGTCCTAGTTTGCAGGGAAACTCCAGCACCTAAGGCCTAGAGAGGGGTCGGCCTCGGGTGTTATGGTTTCTTCCCCTCATGTGTCCATCTCCAGACCATTTATTACGGTTACTCTTTTGGTCAATAAAACCACGATAACAACTAAAGCCTTGATCGATTCAGGTGCTGCAGACAACTTTATGGATGAGAACTTTGCTAAAACCGCAGCCTTGAATCTGATTCAAAAGGCCACACCCTTGGCCATTGAGGCCATAGATGGTAGACCACTTGATAAACCTCTGGTGACCCATGAAACCCAAGAAATGGTTATGGTTGTGGGTGCCTTACACAAAGAAAGGATAACCTTCCAGATAATTGACTCCCCTACAGCTTCCATCATTCTGGGTTTCCCCTGGTTAGTTAAGCATAACCCGGTACTTGATTTGGGTTCTCTAGATATACTCTCCTGGGGGGTATCTTGTCAACAATACTGTATGGCCGTTTACATCCCATTTGTTTACTTAATGTGCCTACAGCTATACCACTTTCTGTTTCTGTCCCTCCTGTGTATGCAGACCTCGCATTGGTCTTTGAAAAGAGGGAAGCTGATAAACTACCCCCACACCGGGATTATGATTGTGCCATAAACCTGTTACCTGGAACGATGCCTCCTAGGGGTAAGGTCTACCCGCTTTCTGAGAAAGAAAACCAGGTCATGGAGGAGTACATACAGGAATCCTTACGTAAAGATTTTATCAGAAGGTCCTCCTCTCCGGCTGGGGCTGGTTTCTTTTTTGTTGCCAAGAAAGAGGGTGATTTGAGGCCATGTATAGACTATAGGGGCCTGAATAACATAACAGTTAAAAACGCTTATCCTATCCCTCTCATTACTGAGTTGTTTGACCGTGTTAATGGTTCTAGAGATTTTACTAAACTAGACAACTTGGTTTGTATAAAAGAAAATGATGAATGGAAGACAGCGTTCAATACACGCAGTGGGCATTACGAGTATCTAGTCATGCCTTTTGGACTGTGTAATGCCCCTGCTGTCTTTCAGGACCTCATAAATGATGTCCTTAGAGATTTGCTGCTTGTCTGTGCCGTGGTTTATCTCGATGATATACTTGTATATTCTCCTGATTTGGAGTCACATCATGCCCATGTGAGGAAGGTACTTAAGAGATTGCTACAGAACGGTCTTTATTGTAAATTGGAGAAATGTTTATTTGACCAGAAATCAGTACAATTCCTAGGGTACATCATTTCTGAACAGGGGTTCAGCATGGATCCTTCTAAATTAGAAGCCATATTGTCTTGGCCTCTTCCTCAAGGCCTTAAGGCAATACAGCGATTTATAGGCTTTGCCAATTATTATCGCAGGTTTATTAAAAACTTTTCATCAGTCATTTCTCCTATCACGAAACTAACTAAAAAAGGTTTGCACCCCAGGGTTTGGACTCCTGAAGCCATTAAAGCCTTCGAAACTCTCAAAAAGGCATTTGCCACTGCCCCTATGCTACACCATCCTGATCCTTCCCTTCCCTTTATAATGGAAGTAGACGCTTCAGAATCAGGTATAGGAGCTGTATTATCACAAAGATTATCTGTGGCGAAACCGGCCTCGCCACGTGTCCTTGGAGGGGGCTGCTTGCCCGCCTCTTGCCTTTGGACTATGGACCAGACTTTATGTGAATGTGTTAACCCAGATAGCTATGCCATGGAGCCCATTCGTGTAGTTAAAGACTTCGGCTCCATGGCAATTGAACTGTGTGAATAGGATCTGAGCGCTATTCGGTAGTTTTGTGCGCTCAGATCCCAGCTATCTGGGGATATGTGACATGTCTGTGTTTTATGTATAAAATGTGACTTTGTGTATTTTATAATATTTTAATGCTTTGTGCTCACCATGTGCATAATGGAGTCTTGTGTCTGTCCTGGGAGATAATTGAATTACTTCTCAATTCAATCTCCAGGATAGAAGACTCTGAAACTGGTTTGGGCCGGAAAGCCATGCTTCATTTAGTCACAAAGGACTTTCCCTTAACTTTTGAACCCCTGGTCTGATTCGTGCCATTTTTTAATATGTTGTTCCCCTGAATGGATTGATTATGAAAATGTATATTTTATGTTTGTGACATGTATATTTTAGAAGTTATAAATATTGTGTAAAAACTGTATTCCTCTGCCGGTGATAATGAGATTACCCATTGTGTTCAGTAATCATATCACAGGCAGAGGGGAGGATTTTGTGTGGGAGTGTCTGGGTGTATTGTACGGATTGATTGGTTGTTTTGTAACGCCCTGTGGGCTGTACTATGTTTGTGGATTGGGAATAAAAGAGACTGTATGTGACAGTACAGGGAGTTCCTGTTTAACCCTCAAAGTGAAGTGTCGTCTCATTATTGGGGGAAGGATTTATTGTATGCTGTTCCAGTTTGACTGCTAGGAGAGTAAACCTATTCGTATGGTTCCTATTCAACTGTCTACAGCATTCATATGCTTGAGAGGATTCATATGCTCCTACGGTTTGGTGGTTTTGGTGTCTGCTGCAGTGCTTGGAGTCCTCAGGAAGTGCTAGGAGCATCCTTCAACGGAGGTACTCAGTCGGGGTGCCAGGCGATCCGTTACATTATCCTATAACGAACCCCTCCATCCCTGTTGTTACTTTTCTAAAAAACTGTCTGATTCAGAAAAGAATTACGACGTCGGGAACAGGGAACTATTAGCTATTGTGACGGCTTTTAAAGAGTGGAGGTACTTATTAGAAGGAGCTAGACACAAAATCCTGGTTATAACTGATCATAAGAATCTCTCCTATATAGCTGATGCTAAAAGGTTGTCCTCTTGTCAAGCCAGATGGTCCTTATTTCTTTCACGCTTTCAGTTCGTTATCACATATAGGCCTGGGTACCGTAATGTCAAGGCTGATGCTATCTCCCGACAATACGAACCTTTGGAGTCTATTGCCCCTGCTCCTGAACCCATTGTACCCACGTCTAAGATAATAGCTGCTACCCGTTTAGTTATTTCGTCTCTTTTCCTTTTTTTTTTTTAAATTCTTTATTTTTACTCAATAGAGTTAGCAAGTGTACATCAACTTTCGGGCTTACGCAGAAGCCAACATGTTCAACATTTTGGAATCATTATACAGTTTGACAAGAAAAAACAGTATGTGCCCTGTCTTTTTCTGAATCCATTGGCACCTGCCATCTATCGAGGTGTTTTTTAAATTTCACATTACCCCCTTCTAGGATATACATCATTGAACAGGCAATTCAACAATTAAACAGTCACTTTCGGGCTAATAAAGAGGCCTATTAAATTACAAATCAATATAAGGGAACGTTAGTCGATGTAAATATTGCTTGCCTGTATCGTAATCGTCTCTTTTCCTTGATGGTAACAAGGCATACCAAACCCAAGCACCCTCTGAGACACCTGTTGGTAGGTTATACGTGAAAGAAAAAGATAGAAAGAAATTGTTAGCTTTATTTCACACCGCCAAAACGGCTGGTCACCAAGGGGTTACCAAAACATACAAGGGTCTCCTTCAACAGTTTTGGTGGCCTTCACTTAAGCAAGACGTAGTAGATTATGTGCAGGCTTGTCGTGTTTGTGCACAGTGTAAGTCCCCTAATGTCAAACCCCTGGGACTCCTAATGCCTCTATCCGTACCCAAGAAACCATGGACCCACTTATCCATGGACTTTATTGTGGATCTTCCTTCATCCGATGGAATGACAGTAATTTTGACTGTGATTGATAGGTTCTCTAAAATGGCACACTTTATTCCACTTAAGAAACTACCTTCTGCGGTTCAGTTGGCTCAGGTATTTGCCAAAGAG